CCCCTTTAGCCTCCAAACATCTCCATAGGACCTCTTTTAGGACTTTGTCGTATGCTTTTTTTCTAGGTCAATGAACACTATATGCAAGTTTCGTTTTCTGTCACTATACAACTCCACCAATTTCCTTACCGGGTGAATGGTTTCCGTAGTTGAACGCCCCGGCATGAATTCGAACTGATTCTCAAAAATAAACACACTCCTCCCCATCCTCGCTTTCACTACCCTCTCACAAACTTTCATTGTATGTCTTAACAGCTTGATACCCCTTATAGTTGTTGCAATTTTGGATATCTCCCTTGTTCTTATACAACGGGACCATCATACTCCACCTCCATTCTTCGATCATCTTCTGCATGCTAAAAATGACATTAAACAACCCAGTATGAGGGACAGCAAACGTACAAAAAAAAACTACTTGACATACATACGCTAAATGGTAGGCCCATTACGAAGAATCGTGAAGGCAATCTCTAATCTTGCTCGGTTTGGGGCTATCACCTGAACAGGGCAGGATTGATCGATCTACATAAAAAAATTTGGCTTCCTTTCTGAGGAGCGCATTTAAAGAATAAAGAGAGCACGTACCATAGCCACTCCAAGCCTGCATGTCCGCGTTCTTCTTAAATTCTATCAGTATTTCGTCTGGCCTAACCGCCTTTCCCTGTTTATCTTACGTATAGCCCCCATGATATCTACAACCTTTATACGCGTACAATACCTAAAATTGTAACGACTCTCGAAGTGCTTCAAATTATCTAATACAATGTTCTTGTCCCCCTCTTCGTTGAAGAATTTATCGAAGTATGTATGTCTTCTTCGTCTAATATGTTTCTCTTTTATCAAAACTCTGTCTTTCTCGTCTTTGATGCATTTTATTTGATCCAGGTCACGGGCCATCCTTTCTCTTTCATGGGCTAGTCTGAACAACTTCTTGTCCCCGTCTTTATCCCCATGTTCTTCATACAAACGTTCAAACGTTGCAGTCTTAGCCGTCGTAACAACTAACTTTACCTCTTTCTTAGCCTTCTTATACCACTCCATATTTGTCCTCTTCTCGTCTATGCTCTCTACCAGCTTCGAATACGTCATCTTTTTGGCTTTCACTTTTCCCTAGACCTCTCAATTCCACTGGCAGTCCCCTTTGTGACCACTCAAGTAACCCTTCGAGATTCCTAATATCTCTCTTGCAGCTTCTTTAATGCAATTCGATGTCGTGGTCCACATGCCACTAGCTTCCCACTACTCCGCTAGGCCCCATAGCCCATAGCTTCTCCCTCAACTCCTAAGTTTTGTCCTTAATCAAGGCTCCTCACTTAATTTTAGGTTGACTATATACAATATTTTTTTTTCTCTTTCTATTGATCTTTAAGTCCATTACCAAGAGCCTACATGAGATTCTTACTCGGGATAACCTTGCAATCCGTGCATAGACCTCTATCACACTTTCTAAAGATTAGATAATTAATTTGAGTCTTGGTCACCGTACTATGGAAGGTGACCAAATGGTCCTCCTTCTTTTGAAAACTCGAGTTAGCTATCACCAAATCAAAAGCTTTGGTAAAATCCAACAATGAAGTACCTCTATTGTTTCTAACTCAAAAATCGAAGCCACCGTGCACATTGTCATAACCACCATAAGTTATTTCGAGATGGCCAAAGATTTCTCCTATGAAAAGATTTTCGGTGAGCGGGAAACCATGCACAACCTCGTCCAAAACCTTCCAGAAGTGCCTTTTGACCTCTTGTCCAATCCCACTTGAGGTGTGTAAGTACTAATTATATTTAAAGTAAATCTTCCAACAACTAGCTTAATCATCATCAACTTATCGTTCACCTTTTTAACATCTACCATTAGCTCCCTGAGTTCCCTATCAACCAAAATACTTACTTCGTTTTTACCCCCCTCACGTCTCATGAGTACCATAGTTTAAACCCATTCACATCCTGTACCTTAGTTCCCACCCATCTAGTCTCCTCGATACAAATAAATGTTGTTTTTTGAGTAGGGCTAATAGATTTTGCGTACATATTAGTTGTAAGAAGTAGCTTCATAGAGAATCTATTTATCCGGTCTTCGTCTCCTTTTATGGTTTGTGATGACACCTCATATGCCTCTCTTCCTAGCTAAGTTCACTTTAGAGTAGCCGACTTCCTTAAAAGCAAGTTTTGAATAATTTCCTTCTCCTACCACATATCATGAGCCCGCCTATTTCGTAGCTATTATAANGGTGGGGGTATTATTCCTATTATTCTTCTTCTAGCAAGGTTAAGTTATGAAATAAATTTCAACCCTTCAAATACTCTATGGACAAATGGCATGAATCAAAGATCCCATTGAGTATTACTGGACAGTAGTGCATTTTAAGGGTATCTTTCACATTTAACGTTTTGTACATTCACCTTTCTTTACGTTTCGTCCCACCACCTAACCCAATTGGTAACCCGAGAAGGCCGGCTCTAACCTTATAAGAGGTAAGGCTTATGCCTTGCCCCAAAATTTGAGGGCCTATTTTTTTTTTTAAATAATAGGTTTATAGGTATTTTAAAAAATAATATTTAGTATTTTCAATACAAAAGTAAAATTTTTAATATAAAGGAAAAAAAAGCCCTATATATATATATATATATATATATATATATATATATATATATATATATATATATATATATATATACATATACATATACATATAGTAATAATTTGACTTGCTTAAAAATGGATAGAGAATAGTTTTTCAAACGTTTCAATTTTTTAGTAGTACTTTTTACTCCTTCATTAGATAACGTGTAAAATTTTTACTCTCCCTTTCTTAATTTGTTCAAGTCAATCTTTCTTTTTTTTTCAATCTATTCAAACCCCTACATATTTTTTATCGTTCTCTTTAATATTCTTACTCACATTCTTTCTCCAAGACTTTATTAGTTTAAGTGTTCAACAATACTTTTAAGCTTCCAGAAGTTCTATTCTATTGCTCTACAATATCTTATCTAAAATCAATAATATCTCAAGAAAGATTAAATGAGTTGGCTATAATATCAATTAAAAAAAATATTATTAGAAAAAATCGATTATAAAAAAGATTATTAACAACTTTATATTTCAAAAAGTTAGAAGAATAGATTTTAAATAAAAATATATCTTATAACTTCCTTTTAAAAAATTAGGCCTGATATTAAATTTTGGCTTTAAGCCGCATGTGCTTGAGCCGCCCCTATAACCCGAACGCAGAGTTATAGTATTTGCTTCTCTACATTCTACGTTCCAACTCTCTGAGTCTCTGTAACTTTCGTATGTGTGTTCATGTGTGTGAGAGATTTTCTTTTTGTATCCCAATTATTACAAGAACTTCTCCAGCTTCAATTTGTATTTTTTTTTCATCAGATTCAATTTGGTTTCATCTAGCTGTATCTATCACGGTTAATTATCAGGAAAAAAAAAAAATACTCATATGATGTCTACACCCACCACATTACTTTACTATTGTTAAATTATAATTAAGGTAAAACTACACATTTATCTATATTTATATTAAAAGCACGAAAACCCTTAGCGAAATGTTTTTTTATCCTTTAAAATTAATTTATTCATTGATATAATTATATTTTGTGTATTAAATGCTTCCTTATTTAAACTATGTAAGAATCCTAATATTTAGGACTTAATAATTAAACTTTTACCTTTTATGAATCATTAAAAAGAAAGAAAAAAGTCAACAACATACGTTTACTGTGTTTTTCTCCCCTACCTTTCATTAACAAGAGATACACTATCTATTACATTAATTCAACGTTACCAATAAAATACTACTATCAATGAATAAATGCTTACCTTTTAGAACTTAAAACTAACGACTATTTATCTCATCTAAACCTTGATATTTATAAATAAAAACAAAATTTGTAGACCCTTAAATATGTGTTAATTACTATAAAAATATTTCATTGAATATTTATTTAATTATTATCCTAATATTTAGGAGTTTAAAATTTAATTAAAATTTTAAAAAAATCTTTTTTGAACTCTGCAGAAAATCCTATTATTTAGAGTTTGCATTATGTAAATCTTACACTTAAATTATATATAAATGATAAACAAAATACATAAAGAAAAGAATAAAAAGTTTAAAGAGAGGGCATACGGGTTCTTAGATAATAGCGGTCTCATTTTAATAACTTTCTTACGTTTTCATTTATACGCAATTCTTTTTACATTAAAATATTTTAAAATACACATGACTATTTACTAAAAATAATATTTTATATTATATTATTAACTTTCAAAATTTATAAACGAAGTATAATTAATTGGAATGTTGAGCAAATCATTAACAAACACATATTTTATCAATTATTCCAACAAGATAATTTAAGGTATAGAAGACAAAATGGATTCAAAATTAGTTGATATTAAATATATTATTTTCTTTTTTCATCAATTCCAACAAATAGCCCTCTGTAATTTTTTATACATTAGTAATTTGTTATAAAATATTCCCTCAACATTAGTCATTTACAGACTTTATATTGTCACTTAGTTATCCTTTTTTCTAAAAATTATATGACCAACCACTTTATTCTGAATTTTTAAAAGAACGATACATTTTTTTAATGTGTTAATTAGATGACTCTGAAAATTCATGACAAAAATATATAATAAATATTTGATCATTTGTTACGGAAGAAAATGTGACACCATAGTACTCTATTTATCTCTTGTGCGAATGCGGGTTGAATTTGGGATAACATCATGAGCACTTTTATGAAGTAGGCTGAGTTAGTTTAATAATACAAGAATCCATCATTTTCAGGACTTAATTTTTTCTTTATATTTTTGTAACTCAAGTATATTCTTTGATAATATTTATGTAGTTTCAAAAGTTTAAATTCATAGTGAGGATACACGCATAACGCGCGTACCCTAAAACTAGTCAGTTAAACATGGCTAAGTAACAAAAACCTCTGATGCCTGTACATGTCTAGTATAGCTTCAAGGTTGGAAATGGCCAAAAAACAGTATCAGACTATTAGTAAAGCAGTCCAACAACAACATCAACACGCGGGCAAAAACAAAAAAAAAATGCAATGATCCAAGAAATTCTGAAGAGCCGTGTTTTAACTGTATAACCTATCTAATACAACAAAATTAGATTTCTACAAAATCTAGAAACCTAAGTATTTTGGGGCTAGCAGAAATAGAGGTTCCAAAGCACTTGGTGCAAACTTCCTTGCAAAAAGAAAGCACATTGATGTATTTCGCTCGTTATAAGTACAGTTACGCCCTGCCAACATTCTCTTCATAAACTCTTCGGTGATATCTGATTTTCCAAATGTAGCAGGGTGAGCCCCGCCCCTCGACCAATCAACCCATGTTATACTTCTGTTTGCCAAGAGATTTGATGCTTGAATAGTCAGCATAGTCGGGAAGTAGTGCTCGTCTACATAACATGCTGGCTTGCAAAACTCCGCAAACTTGGGGTAGAATTTTGTGTCTTCAACTATGTAAAGAGCAAGCTTCCTATTGATTTCAAACCACTGTGATCCTTTGCGCCAGTCAGTAATGTTAACCTCGGGCAACATATTCTCATCATATCGACCTCTTCCATATGGTCCAGGATCATCAAATGCACCAATAAAGCTATGCTTTGACTGACTTATGTACTTGTAGATGACATTGAAATTGTACAGAGGAATGCACGACTCGGAAAGCAGAACAAACCATTCATTGGAGATGTCAAGCAATGCATTCGCAATGAGTCTTCTCTCCGCATCACACATACTCATCTTTCCCCATTCTGTCACCTTTGAAGAACAAAGTTACAAGATCATCAGCAACTTACAACCCAATTCCATATAAACACGTTTCACAAAGCAGTATCTAGTGAAGTAAGGACACAAAACCATACCAAAGAGACAGCCATAGAGAACATGAGATAACTACAAGCATAAAAAAGTCACGAGCAACTAGCAGCAGAACAACAACATACCCAGTATATTCCCACATGTGGGGTCTGGGGAGAATAGTGTGTACGCAGACCTTAGCCCTACCTAGTGAAGGTAGAGAGGCTGTTTCCAATAGACCCTCGGCTCAGAAGAGCAGCTAGCAGCAGAAGAAGATGAAAAAGAACACCAAAAATGTGAAGGAAAAAAGGAGGTTTTGCACTATCCTGTGAAACTTTTCATCAATGTTTTTGCAGCAAGCTACATCAACAAACTGCTACTTGGACGCACTATCATTCATTGGCAGCTAATTTAAGGAAGAACAGCATTTGAGAGAATGATAGTAGCGTCCAGGACTGCTGCAGAGGATTGATATTACAAAACAAAGTCCTGTTTGTTTGAGTACTAAGTTGCTTCTCTTATCAGTAAGTAAGCTGAGTGCTATATTGTTCTTGTTACGGAATAACTTACATTATTTGTTTTGACTGATTGGAATTAAAAATGCAAATCCTATGACATTATATATAACATTCATGCATAAGAACTAACAGCCATGCTTAATCCTCTGCCGCTTGCATACCTTTACAATATGATTAGTTGTTAGCCTTTTCATACATTTTGAAATTTCACTTTAAAAGCTCCC